CTATATAGAAGTTCAATCCTGACTCTCGCTGGAGAAACTCACATCCACACTTAAGTATGTCTCTCTCCTCCCTTGAGGACCTTTTGAGAACATATCAGTGTCTGTTCTGAAATCTGTTGAGTATCTTTTGAGAAGCTCCAAGTCTTCTTCACCCTGGCTTGCTGTGAAATTCTTTTCTATAGTCAGTTAGAGGATCAATTTTTATCTGGGTTGAGGTCCCTAAAAGATCAAGGGAAGTCCTTAGGCTGCTGCAGGCAACAAAATAGGATGATTGTCTCCATCCCCACTGCTACTGACATAACTAAGTTGCATATCTAACATAAAAAGAGTCAAAATCTCCATTTCATATTTCAATTCCTCAAACCTATTGTGAATGAAAAAGTGACTGAGTCTATCAACGAATAGCATTCAAGGACCTTTGCATTTTCTTCCACAAAACTAGAAACAATTTCCTATTTTTTTCTAGACCCTAGAACATAAATCTGTTCATCATTTACATTTCAAAGCAGATTATTCTGGAACCTATAGGATATATATCAAATCTTATCACTCAAAAGATTTATTACTTGCTAGAGGTTATTAAAATTTCTGAATTAAACCAAACATGTATCCAATCCAATTAAGCCATGGCTAAATGGACTTGAATAGAATCCCTTTAAAATAATAGGCCTGAAATTATGTGGAAGAGCATCTTCTCGAGATATCACATTTTCATAATTATTAGTACAATATCCCAAAGCACATTTAGTTAGCACTTAGCACCATCATCAAAAATAATGGTAATATATTCAATATGCTGGACGCAGTGTGACCTATTTCACTAGTACATTTATTACTGAAAAGGAATGTAAATTCCATGAAGGCCTTTTAGTTACACAATCCAGAAATGAAGGGCTGATTCAATGATCATGGAGCACACTAGTCCGCAACCTTGATCTCAGATTTCTTACTTCCAGACCTGTGAGAAATAATGTTTGTTGTTTAAACATTTCCAGTCTACATTACTGTGTTACAGCAACATGAGCACATTAGGACAGTAGGTTTGGTGGCAATACTTTATGACAGTTGGATACTCGAATTATTATGTAATATTCAGAGTTGTTCAAAATGAATACCAGGAACAGTTGCAGACTAGTTATCAAACATGAAAAACTTAGTGAAATCTATATTGCTTATGTATTTTTGAAACATATGGCTGATCTGAGAGAGAGAATCAGTTACCTGCATGAACAAGCTCTCACACATGTTACCCAATCATATATATACATGTAGCCATAATAAATTAAAGATAACGAATTTGTTAAGGGGGTATGGACAGACCTGGAGGTGAAGGCAGGATCACAGTGGTTATAAAGGAGCTAGAGAGAGAGAGGAAACACCAGTAGGAGGAAAGGAGCAAGAGTGTTATAGATATAGTGCTCATGTATGAAGATTGCAAAGATCAAATTATGTATATATATATATATATATATATATATATATATATATATATATATTCAAAACATGTAGGCCATGTTCCATCTGGATTCACTGTAAAACTTTAACCTTTCACAGGGTAAGATACCATTAAAATTTGTGAAATTCTATCCCTAAGTAAACCTTGACTACTCAGTCACATTTTAAAATAATTCAGAATGTTTTCGTCTCTTCATGAAAACCATGGACTATCCTATAACATGTAATACTCACAAACAATTCTTAGAACCATTCTTTATATTCTACAAACAATGTGTGTATATTTTTCATTTACTGTGAAGAGCTTAACAAATCAAAAAGCTCACTATGTGCACATACAAATTATTTTTCAGTTTTTAATCCTGAAGTATAATTCAGAGATTTGTAAGTGTAGAAGGATAAATTTTCAAATACACATGCCTACATAACTACATCATTATCAGACTATGGAGCATGCCTTTTTGAATAAAAAAGATTCTTCAAGTCCTTCCCATCATGTTCTTTCCCCTTCCCTAATTTTTTTCTGTCTTGGGCCTGAACACTCAATGCATAGGAAACTCCCTTTCCAGTTGTTTTTCAAGGAAGTCTAAAGACTCCCAAAAAGGTATTGATTATTGTGATTGCCCTCCAAGAAAAAGAAGATAATAACTTATTGCTGAAAACACCACACACTGAGGACACAGGGTTTGGAGGAATTGAGCTGGATCTGACCTCAAAGCCTCTTCACTGAGGAACAGCTCTCTGATAGTCTCAGAAGAAACTATTTAAGCTGCTAATGAAGTAAAAAGCCAATAGTCCTATCCAGCTATAGTGCCAATGAGGCACTACAATGACCAGAATGGTAAAATATTGGGTAGGTAGCAATAGTAGCACTTATATCATAGGGTAACCAAGAACCATGTAATTGAACTTAAGACCCACTCAATAGGAGAAAATCCATGCTGTCCCTATACATTTATCTAGCCTCCCATAGCCAGTAAGGTCTTGGAACTTGGAAAATTCATTACTGCCAGTTTTCTAACCCAATGTAATTCCTAAGTGCATTGCGCTAATCCTTATATGCACAGCTAAGTTTGGTTCTCACCCCTCATCAGTAAATCTTTTTGCAGCAGACAAAGACCCTTACAGAAGTCACATCTGGTCAAAATGCAAAGACTGCAGGGTACCCATCTTCAACTGAAACATCTACAACACAGACCTTCAACTAAGGCTCAAGGAACATTTTTGTAGAGGAGGCAGAAATATTATAAGACCAATTAGAGGATCAAGATATCTGCTGTAAGATGATCTCTTCTAAAAAATAAAAATAAAAACAAACAAAAAATAGAATAGGAAGAGAAAAAAAAGACAGAAAGGGAGGTTGAACCTGAGTAGAGTTGGGGGAAGGAGTAAGAGGATGAATATGATCAAGATACTATGTATGAAATTCTAGAAAATTTAATACAAATTTTATGTATTTTAAAAAGACTCTCACACAGGCATACCTCCGATGTTTAGCTTACACTGTTTCTTATATCGCTCTTTTATTACATATATTAGGTGTTTAAAATTTTTAATACATCCCTTAATAATATCATTACTTTCTTTTTTCAGATGATCAAACAGAGCAGAACAAATGAGTAACCTTCCCAAGTTCTCCCAGCTGAGCGGGTTGTACTGTGGACCTCAGAACTTTGACTCTTGTAAGAACACTTTGAACCACTTTGTTTTACTTCCATTCAAACTTGCTGTGTGGTGTAAATTTATAAGGTTATTCAACTATACTGTTCAAAGGTGTAAAAAAACACGAGATGAAGATGAGTTTTGAGAGATACAGATAGAGACTCCTGCCATCCTGAGAAAATGCACAGAAGCAATAGTGAATCAAGTAATCAGGATATGAGATAAGATATACTGTAGCATACACAGGACCCAGATACAGATAGATACTTACTTGGAAAGTGCGGGCACTTTCTAGCTGATCAACTCAGCTCCTACATGTTACAGGTAAAAACAAGTGGGCTTGGAAAGTTTACATGTTCTGTAGAAGATTCTATTGGCAAAATATCTCTAGCATGTATGTCTGCAGTTGATAATAAATAAAAGTAATGTTTATGAACATTTCATTGTGTGCCAAGCATTGAGCTCAAATATTGGGATACGCTAACTAAACCTTACAAAAACTTAGGATCGAGATAGGACATATTTAGATTGGATTAATTGCCCTAACTTGATAGAGATCCTATTTTTCCACGTCAAACCTGTGCTACACTTCAATGCTATATTTCTAGAGAAAATGTGACACAACAATAGAAAACAGTATAATAAAATAGTGAATAAGATGATAAGATGTGGACACTATTTCAGTAATCTAAGGGTTCATTTTAACAGTGATACCCAGAGACCAAAGACTTCTTTTAACTATGAAACCACTGTGGGTCAGCCCCCAAGTGTAGACAGGTTGTGTGGGAGGGCAATGGGCTTCAGCTAGAACACCTTGAATATTGAAAGACATGCCACTTGATCGATAAGAATCTCATCAGATAGCCTTAAGACTAGTTTCCTCAGCTCCCCATAAACAAGGTATAAGCTGCCCAAATCAGGTTTTCTTGCTATTTCAAATTAGGTTTGGGGGAGAAACACATTTTTTGATGCATTTGACCTGTTCTTTGTACACAGCTTACATCCACTATCCAGTTTACAATCACATTTTGATAATGCACTGCACTGCATGCTGCATGCTTGAAAGAAAACCAGCCCTGCTGAGGTCCACATCATTTCCAATTCTATTAACTGGCCCTTCCTGTGATCCACAGTATACAGCATGTTCCTAAAATTGTAGAAAGATAGAAATGACTTAAAACCAAAGCCAGAGGCTCGACCTATACCACTCTCCAAGGAGAAGGTGCCTTGGAGAAGGTAGGTACCTCAGCCCAGCTGCTCGGTGAGATGGGTACCTTTGGGCTTGCCTAACTAGGCAGAATTCTTTACCTCTACAAAGTCATCCTCGAGATCAGTTCTTAACCTATGAATCCCAACCCCTTTGGGTGGGTCAAACCACCCTTTCACAGGGGTTGCATACTAGATATCCTGTGTAGCAGATATCTACATTTATGATTCATAACTAGAAAAATTACAGTTACAAAATAGGCACAAAATAATTTTATGGTTGGGGGTCACCACTACACGAGGAACTAAAGGGCCATAGCATTAGGAAGGTTGAAAACCACCTATACATACTAGACTACTGCAGAAGTAGGTAGCCAGAGAACAACAGTCAGCTTTTCTTAAAATAAAGAAGAAGGAAGACAAAAGAGGGGATAAAAGAAAGGAAGAAACAGGGAAGAATAGGAGGTAGAGGTGGAAGGGGGAGGAATGGAGGGAGAAAAGGTTACACAGAGCCAGTCTAATAGGCTCCAAGTCTGTTTCAAGCCTGGTAACTAGAGACATGGATCCCTTCTAAAAAATGGCTTTTCTTTTGTTCTCTAATTCCTTAAAAAGGAAGCAAGAATGAAAGTTAAGGCCATCTGTTATAAATGCCTCACCGAGTTCCTAGAAATTCCCACCTGTCTCAGGTCTTCCATTTCTTCTCCTGATCAATATTGAATCCTAGGAGAATGTCTAGAAGGGTTAAATGCTAACTATGTTGGATAAAAAATTAAAAGTCTTGCCTACTCTGTGTCAAAGTACACTTGGCTGGCTTCCATTACACCATTATGAAATTGCCTGAGGAATATATTATGTAAGCATGCTCTGTGACTGGACTAGAGATTACAGAGTCCACACACAATTAAGAAGAACACCCTCGTTGAAATCAGCAAATCTCGTCAGGAAGAGAAACGGCAAGGTGAGCAAAATTAAAGCTTGCTAAGCTTCCTCATAAACACACACTCCATTCCTCTGAATGCCAAGTCCTTCTGAATCACACATATCATTGCTACCAACTCAGAAAAAAAAAACCCACACATGCTCCGTCTCTTCCCAGCTCAGAATGAATCTTATCATTTTGGAAATGCTTGGCTATTCACTTCAGCAGTGTTTCTTTTATGAGTCAGCTGTTGTAAACACTGCAAAAACCTCACAGAAAGTTCCACTGGGGGGAAAAAACATTTACATATACTAATCTGGCAAAAATGGCTTGCCAAATCATAGTGCTTCTACTTTTCCTTCAGTTTTTTTTCTTGACAGTTGGAAATGGGTACACGTTGTAATTTGCCTGCATCTATTTTCTACCTTAGTAGTGTCCAGTAAAATCATTCAGACAGCACGACAGCTAAACAGGCAATAAGGAAAAGTGCCTGCAATCTTCAGAGAGCCATAGTAAGCATGGAATGTAAACAGTGCAGGCAATTGTGCATGTGTCTATATACATACATATGATCTATCATCTATATCTGCATACATATGACTGGTGATGGGTAAGGGATATTTACAGATTCTACCATGAAAATGGCTGATGAAAGAGTCTTCACTGACCCACTAGCTTCCATCTCCCTTACTAGAGAACTGATTTGGAAGGTCACTGAGAACAAGGAACTCCAACAGTGGGAAGCAGTGGACTTTGGAAGACATGAAAACAGACCGACAAAAGCGCCAAAGCCCATGGCAGCTCAACAACACTCCACAATGTAAAAATTAGGAAGGAATAAGCAGTGAGTCTCAAAGAAGAGAGGATCGATATGGAACTATCACATGAACCATGTATCTCAGAAATCTAATGCTGAATAAGCCACAGTGGGCTATGAAGATGAGAAAGGAAAGTAACTGGGTCTATACCAATGTACACCTTGTTAGCATATGATGTTCCTTAAGCTTATGTCACACTACAGGAGCACAAGACTTTTCAAAGAAGACTGCTTTAAATATGAAGTCTTTCAAGTCTAAAACATTGTCCCTGGAGAAGGCTGGGTAGTCAGTGTTCTCTGAATTGGTGTATATTCATTTTATCTATCTCTAGCATCTCTCTATCTCTAGCATTTCTTCATATCTTCCCCATCACTCTCCTTACACTTCCTCCTTTTTCTGATAAGGCTTCTTTTTCCATAAACCAGATAATGATGCACATTATTATTACAGAAAATAAAACATGAAATGAAATTAATCTAACACTTTACTTCATGTTAGTACTCTCATAAATTTAATTTCTGTCCTGGTTAGTATTTTTTGTTGTTGTTGTTAATATAATGCAACCTAGAATCATCTGGGGAACAAAACTTCTACAAAAAACTTGCCTCCACTGGACCAGTATGTTTTGATTGATTTTTGATGTGGGTGCCAGGCATAAGGCAGGTGTGTCTGGGATATGTAAGAAATGCAAGATTAGAGCATGCACTAGCCACTGAGCCAAGAGTAAGCCAGCAAGAAGCTTTCCTTGTCCATTGCTCCATGGCTTGAATTCTTGCCACATGTTCTGTCCGTGATGAAGTGTGACATGAAAATGTACTGAACTAAACTCCTCCCCACACTGCTTCTGGTCAGAGTGTTGCTAAGGGCAACAGAGAGCAAACTAAAGCATCAGCCATCATTGTCTACAGAACTTCATGATATAGTAGACATTTTCTTTTTCCACCATTTCCTATTCTTTGTTTGCACATACTATAACTGAGTTAGCATCTTCTCCATGCTCCCTAGAGAGTTAAGAGTTGGGAAAGCATGGCTGGTTCATTCTCAGGCCGAGTCAACAGAGGTAACAGCAAAACAAAAAAGGACAGGGTTTGAAGGACAACACTGAAACTGTGTGGATTTGTCCTTCTGCAGTACTGAACAGAAGCATTTGTTGAAGTACAAACCTGGTATGACTGCCTCCAATTCCTGTTGGTTCAGAAGATGCAACTATAAGCATGGGAAACCATCTCAATTCATGAGGATGCTAAGCTACAAGCACCATTTCCAATATGAAATATAATGAAAATTAACTCAACATTAAATATATATTTTAAATATTTTTCTTCCACTTTAAAAAATTCATCTAACAGTTTGACATTTTATAAAATTCTAGTTACAAATCTCAACATTGAAACAAACTTGAAACTTTTTGTTTTTTTCCTTTGTTTTGTCTCTAAGGTTTTTATGAAACAGTTTTACCTCATACACACACAAAAAATGTAGATCAACAACTACTTAGTTTCTAATGGTTTTAAGTGAAAGGTAAAAGGTATTGCCAAGGTAATTTTTATCAGCATATCAATAGACAGAAGCAACCCCTGTCAGTGATCTCACACATGTTAAGCTATATTATTATTTACGTGCATTATCTCACTTAATTACAGCAACACTGTAAAAGAGATAGACATTCCCACTGTTTCAATTTTAGAGTTAAAAAACTAAGGGCAGATGGCTTGGTATGTAAGAATATTAGAATCATCTGCTGGCATAATGAACTGAATGCGAATATCGAGCACTTACATAAAAAGCTAGCCATGGCTGCTGGTGTCTATCTATAATCTCTGCACCGGAAGGAAGATAGATATAGGATCCTGAGACTCACTAGCCAGCCAAAATAACCAAAATCCTAAACATGCAGTTCAGTAAAAGTCCCTGTCTTAGGCAAGAAGGCAGAGAGCAAAGAGAACTTGATGCCCTGTTCTGCTTCATAGTGTACACATGCACCTGCACACTCACAAACCACACGCACTAAGCAAACCACCAACACCAAAACCATCACAAGCACAAACACAACAAACACACACCCTGCACTCTCACCATACATCTTTTTTAAAACTAACAACACCTAAGGATCAAAGAGATTGCACAGCAGGGAATCAAACCTTGATCCATCCACAAAAGTAGGCAAAGGGACAGGAAAAGGTGGTTTCTAACATATCATTATGTCCTTCCTCTGGCTTTAAGCAAGATAAATATTTTCTCTTAATATTCTAACATAAAAAAAAAACTTGGGCAGGAAAAAAAAAGGAAATGCAGGAGAGCTTTGTGTAGATAGCTTCGCCTTCACATCGTGGTCACTAATTACACGGGGTTAATTTGGGGCAAAGAAAACTCAAGTTGGCTGTACTAAGGAATCCAACTGCATGAATTCAGAAGCAGATTTTGACTTCTCAAGTTGTGTAAGCATCCAGGGTTAAAGTCACTACCTATGAAAGACAGTGATGAGGGTATATATTCAAGTGGACCCCAGAGCGTCAAGCATCAGAGTCAGCAAACTAGATCAGGCTATGAAGTAGGCAGAGAAACTTAATGACCTTTCTTTTTGTGCTTGGTTAACTATCACCAGCATGCATGGCACCAGCTGTAGGACAATCACAGGGCAGCCCCAGAGTAGCATGCAGACAGAGGAAGGGCTAGGTTAAGAATGACAACCTCTAAAAGTTGAGCTAGGAAGAAAATTTGCTTTTCAATCTAATGAAAGAATAGAAGCTGGGCACACTCTGCTGCAGAGTACTGGAGGATTTACTGGGTCCTCTGTTCATTCCCCCTCCCAAAGCACTGACTGGACCATATCACTAATTCAGCAATGATTCAACCCCATTTGCTGGCTCCATGTCTTGCCACATTGTTTTCTGTGTCCCTGATGATGTGCTGTGCACTGTTATACACTATGTCTGAACCAGGGCGTAAGCCCAAAGCAAACAACCTAATCTTTATCTCTACCTCCTTCTTCATGTTTGGGACACAGTAGCAGCTACATATTAGTTTCAGAAGAAATAAGTTTGAACACAACACGATCCTAATGCCATTTTCAATTTTCAGAATTTTGAGTTTCATGTACAACTACATGCTTTATTCAAATTAAGAGATGGCTAAAATGATGAAAATATAACATTATCAAAGTAAGTGACCTTGAAACATGTGAATTAATTCAGGCATAACTACTGCTCACAATGCAGAACTTGACTGGATCATTTAGTGGAACACAGAAAGAGCACACTGAAAACTACGCTCTATTTCACAAAGAAAGAAAGCCTCTGGCTCATGGCTCATTACTGGAAACCAGCACTCTTCTCAGAATTTTCTTCTTTACAGTAGCTGATGAGTAACCAGTCATGTACCAAGTACACTATAAAAATTCATTCTCAAAAATATTAGCATTTTTGTCATTGCTCATGTTTAATACAGAGTTGTCTATGAAATTGTCTTAAGGCCATCACTAAAAGCAAATATTTAAAAGAAAAGATGTAAACAACACTAAGAAACTAAAGCAGATAAACACTGAATGTTTGTCTTCCAACTAAAAAATAAATTGAAAGAATATTCTAGAGGTAAGAAAATTGAATTAATGAGGAATCAGCATTGTCTGAAAACAAAACCCTGCCTGCCAAAAAAGCAGCCTGATTCTTATTTTATTTTGAAGTTACAAACTAAAAGGAAAGTTTCATCATTATAGAATTCATGTAAAGATTCACAAATAATATACCCATTCCTAGAACATGAGTATGTTCCATGATATTAAACAAAAACTTAAAACACTATTTCTTAACCAAAAGATAAGGAGCTATATATAGAGGTTCATGTCACAGAATAATCAGGAAAGATTAGCACAGAGAAATAAAATTAATAATAATAATTAATAATAATAATAATAGAAAAAAACAGAAGGTAGAGGACATGCTTCCAAAGGAGACTTTTTAAAGGTATCTAGCACATAATTGGAGAAGAAATAAATGTTTACAT